GAATTGCCTCTTCAGATCTTTTGCCCACTTTTCTAATTATTTTTCTGTCTATTCTTTGCTGATTTACAGAAACCCTTTGAATATTACCAATTCCTCTGGTCGCATAGATTGCAATCCCATCACTTGCCTGTCCACCTTTGTCTATACTAAACAGAAAATCCCTCATTTTTTCAAATACATCTTTTAAATTTTATTTGATTTGTGGCTGGTGATTTTTGGGACCTTAAGAAATCCTTTCTTAAGCCCAGCACTGGTGGCTCACATCTATAATCCTAGCTATTTAGGAGGCTGAGATTGAGGATTATGGTTCAAAGCGAGCCTGGTCAGGAAAGTGAGACTCTTTTTATTTTATTTCACTTTTTGTTGTTGTTGTTGGTCCTGGGGCTTGAGTGGCCTGGGCTCTGTCCTTAAGCTTCTTTTTGCTCAAGGCTAGGGCTCTACCACTTTGAGCCACAACGCCACTTCCAGTTTTCTGGTAGTTAATTGGAGATAAGAGTCTCACCGACTTTCATGCCCAGGCTAGCTTTGAACCATGATCCTCAGATTTTAGCCTTTTGATTAGCTAGGATTACAGATGTGGGCCATCAGCACCAGGCAAAGGTGAGACTCTTTTCTCCAATATACCAGTGAAAAGTTGAAAGTGGAGCTGCAGCTTAAATGATAGAGAACTAGCCCTGAGCCTAAAAGCTTGGGAACATTGCCTAGGCCCTGAGTTTAAGCCCCAGGACTGGCACCCAAACAAAACAAATCCTTTTGTCATGATGATGTTTTTATACATTTCATCACTTCCCATATTAGTTTTGTCTTTTACATTTCTGCTTACCTGAAATTCACCTTTCTATGGTGTGAGATAGGGATCCACCTTTATTTTCCCTATATGAATCAAATTTACCAATAGCACCCACAAAACAGCATCTTTTCTCCATTGAGTTGTGAGTCTAGCCCTACCATAAAATGTGTGTGTGTGTGTGTGTGTGTGTGTGTGTGTGTGTGTGTGTGTGTGTGTGATTTCACTGTTCTGTTCCAGTGGTCCATTTGTCAGTTCCTACCTCAGTACTATGGTTATTAGTACTGTAGCTCTGTCCTAATTTCTGGTAGGAGGCATGTCTCCTTTTGGCTTTTGTTTTCAAAATTGATGTCGCTATTTGTGCCTCTTTATTCTGCCTCAACTTAGAAGTACTACATGGCTCAAAAACATGTACTACTCAGGAGGCTGAGTAGCTAGGATTACAGGTGTGAGCCACTGGCGCCCAGCTGAATGCACCCTTTTTACAGTATTTCAGTTGATTACTATTGGAAAAGAGAGCTATTGATTCTTTGAAGTTTTACTTTTATCTGGCACACTTTCATCTCACACACTTCTATTCTAATAGCTTTTCTCCTGCTACTACAGGGATTTCTATGAAAATGTTATCTCTAAATATTGGCAGTTTTGTCTTCTGTTCTCACATCTCTTATTCATTTTCTTGTTGAATCGCATTGGTAAGGACCTCTAATCCTGTACTGATCAATAGCATATATTGAGATGTATCCTTGGTTTGCCAGAGATTTAAAGGAAATACACTTTAAGTTTTTCTATTAATAAAATATTTCATGTGAAAAGAAAGGTCCTTTCTAAGAATTTTAATCATAATTAGGGATCTAGCTTTGTCCAATACTTCAAAAATTATTCAGAAAATATATGATTTTGATTTCATGATATAAATGAAACTGATGTGTTCTCTGATATTGGATTATCCTTACATTCTTAGGACAGTAGCTTAGTTTTTATTTTATTTATGCTTAAATGGATTCATTTCTAGTAACTTTTCTTGATGGGACTGGGGTTTAAACTCAGGGCCTCACTTTTGCTAGGTAGCCACCGTACCACTTGAGCTACCCCACTAGCCCTAATTTTTTGTTTGTTTTGTTTATTTTGTTTTTTTAGTGTGTTATCCACACTATTTGCATTTTCAAATTCATTAATTGATTTTAGTATTCTTTTTGCCATTCTTAACTCTCTATTATGTCTATACTTTTCAGTCAGTATATTTTCATCTCCTTTTGTCATCTCACAAGATGTCTCCTTTAGTGTTTTTTTTTTTCAAGAATGATTCACTGTTTTTAAACACATCAAGCAGCAGTCCCATTGCTGTGAAACAGTGACGTGGGGACTCCCGTCAGCTGGACCCAGGTTTCTTGCTCTGCTGTGTGCTAGGTGTATGACCTCGCACCTCTGCATCTGTGTCCTCAGTTATGAAGTGGGAATAACAAAGGGAAAACTGTGAGAATCAGATTGGAAAATTCACCTAAAGTAAATGAATGAATTCATGAATACTTTAGTGTGGAATACACAGAAAGTATCTAGTACATGACAATCCCATCCACGGTGTCTATATTAGTTAGTGAGGGTTCTCCAAGGAAATAGGTGTGTGTGTGTGAGAGAGAGAGAGAGAGACAGACAGACAGACAGAGACAGAGACAGAATGCATGTGCTAATTTGGTATTGCTTGAGATGATTATTTAAGATATGGCCCCTGGGATTGTGGAGATGGGGAGTCCAGAATCCCAGGGTAGTCTGCAGGCTGGAGACCCAGGGAAGAGTTGCAGTCCGAGTCCAAAGGCTGCTGGCAGAATTCCTTCTTGCTCAGGAGAAGTCAGTCTTTTTTCTGCGAAGATCTTTGAACTAATTGGACAAAGCCCACCAATGTTATGGAGGGTAATCTATCTTATTGGAAGCCTTGTTGATCTAAATGTTGACCTCATCCAAGATACTTCCCATTATTCTTTCAGAATAATGTTTGCCTAAATGTCTGTACATCATGGGCCAGTCAAGTTAACACATAAGATTAACCATCACAGTGCTTTAGCCACTGCTAAATATTTTGCCTGAAATGCCTACTTCAGTGGCCCCTGCTAGGTCACCTGGCACCTGTGTATAGAGTAGAAAAAATCATCGCTTCCTCCAGCAGGCATTCTCTCCTGTAGTCCCCCTCACCTCTTTTCAGACAGCCCAGCCAACTTCCCTGCTCCCTGTTCACTTGACTTGGCACCCTAAGGCACCCTGTTCTTAATTTCTTTTATGTCATGAGGCTTGACCTCTGGGCCTGGGCACTATCCCTGAGCTCTTTTGCTCAAGGCTTGTGTTCTACCACTTTGAGCCACAGTTCCAGTTCTGGTGTTGAGTGGTTAATTGGAGATAAGAGTCTCATGGGGACTTTCCTGCCTGGGTTTGGCTTTTAACCTTGATCCTTAGATCTCAGCCTCCTGACTAGCTAGGATTATAGGTGTGAGTCACCAGCATGGGCATACCATTCTTTATCGTGAGGTCTTTCCTATTCTGCCCTGGCTGGAAATAATACCTGCCCCTCTTGAGACTCAGGGCATTTTGCAGTTAGTTAGCCATTGCTTATCTGTCTTCAGATTCTCACTTTGCCTGCAGGGCTCAAAACTATCACCCTCTTATTAATGATTCACTGGAAAAGCTGTGGAGAGTGAAAGTGATATTGTATGAGGGTGGGGGCAGGGAGACCCTGGAGCAGTGTGGTAGTGGTAGAGCATGTGGGTGAAGATGGTGTTGGACCATGCTGGTGATGGAGGCTTGCGGAGGTTACCTTGTGCAAGGCACTGCTCTAAGTATATGTGTACTCCTAAGTCTTCAACTCAGTGAGGTGCTATTGAGATAGGTGTTATTATTAGCTCCATTTTCCTGCCCAGGAGGCATGGGACACTGAGGCTGCAGGCGCAGAGTTGGTAAACTAGGTATTTGCCCTAGGGTTGTCTTGCTTTTGTGTGTGAGAGCATGCCAAGTCCCTTGACAATGAGGCTGCCGCTCTACAGACATTCTCTCCAATCCTCATGGCAAATGTATAGAGTATAAATAGAAAGTGATGGGTGCGAGATTGAGACCACATCTCTCTCACCAGAGTCCAGGCCTCTCCTTGGCATCTCACGGCTAGAGCACGGGGTGGTTTTCAAATCTGGTGTTTAGAACTCATGCCCAAACTCAAGGCATCCTGCCTTAGGTCTAGCTACCATGCCAGCAAAGGACATACAAAGGAGATTTATTACATGACAGCCATGGGAAGACAACTTTCATTTGTTATCTTTAGCCATGGGGTGGGGGAAATACAGGCATTGGCCTTAGGTTAAACAGGGAAAACTGGGGTCAGGGGCTGAGAAAGGCATGCAGGATCAAGACAGTCCCAAGCCCCGTCTCCAGCCTTTGTCCCAGAGGAATTCCTGGGAAGCTGTCATCACTTCACCTGCAACACTTCGCCTCCCAAGCTTTTGGCCTTTTTCTTTCTTTGGAACAGTTGGGTTTTTTTGTTTCTGTTTTTGTTTTAAATTGGTAAATCCATTTCTTTCCTGGAGCCTGACATGTGATTGCAAAGACTGCATTTTCTTTCCTGGAGCCTGATATGTGATTGCAAAGACTACAGGAGAGAATGGCTCAGGCCACAGGGCACAGGTGCAAACGGGCATGAGGGAAAGCGTTCCCACAAAAATAATTTTTAAGGTTGCCTCTTACAATTTGTCTGAGAATGAATGCAACTGAGTTAGAAAGATAAGTCTGCCCTACCCTGCCCTACCCTGCCCTGCCCTGACCTGCCAAAGACCTGCACCGGGTGCATCATCAGGACTGACTTTTGCCAGGGAAGGGTTCTGAGCAGTGTCCTTGATCTGGAATAGGAGGGAAGCGCTAGACACCTGAGGCCAGAGGCACAGCCGAGCCAACTGGAGGGCTTCCTGCCTCTGGACTGGGGAAGCACAGGGCTTTGAACAGCTGCGGGGAGGTCAGAGCACCCTCCCTGTATCTCAGAGAGGACGTCTCCTTGCGCCTGTTCATTTCCCTCCACTACCCCCTGATGCAGCATGCTTTGGCGAGCGGGCGGGGCCTGGAGAACCCATGAGTGGTGCATGAAGGCTGGAGTTCCCCCAGCACGCGCCAGGTGTGGGCAGGTGCGTCTCGGCAGGTTCTGTAGTCACGACATGCCTCAGCAGTGCCCTTCCCTGCCCAGGTCATTGCTGTGGTCATGGACCTCTTCACCGATAGCGACATTTTCCAAGACATTGTAGATGCTGCCTTTAGGCGTCGGGTGCCTGTGTACATCATCCTGGATGAGGCCGGAGTGAAGTACTTCCTGGAGATGTGTCAGGGTCTGGGGCTCACTGACTTCCGTATCCGGGTAAGCTGTACTATGGGGGGATGGGGCATGGCCAGGAGATGCCATCTACTCCTTTCCTCTGGCTCCTCCTCCTGCCCACCCCCCCACATGCCCAGCTTAGGGGCTCAGGTAAAGTTCATATCTCTTCTCTTTTTCCCAGTTCAGTGTTACCCCCTGGCTGCTGAGGCTGAAGCAGCAGCTTTGGCCCAGTAGTAGGGTAATGAGCCTGCGGAGCCCCTTGGGGCCACTGTCAGGGTCAAGTTAGAGCTGTGGGGAACTTTGGGGAACCCCCGGACTTACCCACACCCGGAGCGAGATTGTTGCCTCCTCCCAATGGCACTCTTTATGTACAACTGGGGGAAGCAGGGACGGTAGTGAAGCAGAGCCCACAGGCAGGGTCTGAGTACAAGAGGCTCGTCCTGTGTTGAAGCGAAGCCTTGTTCCCGGCAGAACCACAATGCCTTTCCCCTCTTCTCAACAGAACATCCGCGTCCGCTCGGTGACGGGGGTCGGCTTCTACATGCCCATGGGGAAGATCAAGGGGACCCTGTCATCGAGGTTCCTCATGGTGGACGGGGACAAAGTAGCCACTGGATCTTATAGGTGAGTGGAAATGGCTCAGAGAAGGTTCCAAGAGGCGTTTCTTTCTTTCTTTAGTCACAGTAACTGTTCAGGAAGGAGCTCCACTGGCCAATTCACAGCCAGAGTTTGAAGAGGCATCATTTGCCCAATGCCAAAGAGCCTTCTACCCATCCCTCCCCTTAAACTTTCTGGCTAATGGATTATTCCAGAAAGAGTCAACTTTTCCTACACATTAAGCACTGCCAGCGTCTTGGGGGCCTCAGCAGCTGGTTGCATTTTGAAGCTGGTTCTTAGTTGGGACAAGCCGAAAGTAGAATGGAGCAGATCTGGGAATGGAATATGCAGATGTGGCAAGGAAGGATGTCTCTAGAATTTTATTTTATTTATTTATTTATTTTTCTGTCGGTTGTGGGACTTGAACTCTGGGCCTAGGCGTTGTCCCTCAGCTCTTCAGCTCAAGGCTAGCACTCCACCACTTGAGCCACAGCGCCACTTCCAGTTTTCTGGTGGTTTATTGAAGATCAGAGTCTCACAGCCTTCCCTGCCCAGGCTGGCTTTGAATGGCGATCCTCAGATCTCAGCCTCCTGAGTAGCTAGGATTACAGACATGAGTCACCAGTGCCTAGCTTCTCTAGAATTTTAATGTAAAAAAATATTACCAGGAATCTGAGAGACAGTATGTGTGCAACCTCTCTCTTCCACGTAAATTAAAATCTAGGTGAAAAGAGACATGAGCACATGTAACAATTAATAAATGACCCGAGTTCTTTCCAGGTTAAAGTAATGGGTTTCTGCAGTGCTCCAGAAATTCAGAGGAGAACCAGTAAGGAGTGGCGCGCAGTCCTCAGCAGCAGCTGGTCACTATGTAGTGAGTGCGCTTGTTCCAGGGACTTGGCTAATGTCTGAATGTGAATTTATAAGTCGGTCCTCACACACTGTAAGTTCAGGGATCTCTCTGGGATGTTTTGCATCCGGGGTTCCATAAACCCCATTTTTGAACAACACACAAGGGTAGAAACCTGGTGTGAAGCCAGGCCTGGTTTCTCACACCTTGTGTCTGCTGCTGCCTTTGTCTGTGGCAGGTCAGTGGCAGGAGAGCAGCCGAGCAGGAAGAAGGAGGTGCCTTCCTCTGCCAGGTGCTGGAAACCAGCCGCAGTGATAGGGCAGGTGGAGGCAGGAAGCGGAGTGTTGAAAAGGCCCCTGGCAGGGCCGTGGAGAGGCTTGAGCACATGTAGAGGCTTTTCTGTCCCCTCATCCCCAGGTTCACCTGGAGTTCCTCCTACGTGGACAGGAACCTTCTCCTCCTGCTGACTGGGCAGAACGTGGAGCCCTTTGATGTGGAGTTCCGGGAGCTATATGCCATCTCCGAGGAGGTGAACTTGTACCGGCAACTGGGCCTGGCAGGAGGCGCAGGCAGACTTGGCCTTAACTACTCCTCCACCGTGGCCCGCAAGCTTATCAACCCCAAGTATGCCCTGGTGGCAGGCAGCCGCCCCCCTCCGGGGGAGATGATGCGCTGGGCGAACCGGCAACAGCAGGAGACTGGTGGCAACCCGGTGGGGCAAGAGGAGGGCAACAGCGGTAGCGAGGCAGCCCGGCGCCTGGAGAGCTTCCTGAATGACCTGGTCACGGTGGAGCAGGTGTTGCCCACCGTGGAGCCCATTCCTTTGAGGGAGCTGAGCCAGAAGGATGCCAAGATGGGCTCTCACCTGCACTCAGACCGGAAGCCAAAATCCCGAGAGATTCTTACCCAGAACGGCAAGGGAGAAGCTGCCAACGGGGAGGCCACCCCGGCCAAGGAGGGCAAGCGCTTCGGCAGCAGGTTCTTCAGCCGACGGGCCAAGAGGCCGGCGGTGCCCCACAGCATGGCCAGCTCCCTCTCCACAGACACCTTTACGGATGGCGAGCTCCTGGTAGGGAAGAGGCCTGCGGGGGATTCCAGTGCCGACGTCTCAGGTGAGCCTGCTCCCCAGGGGCCCTGGGGCCACCCACCACCCCCCCCCCCATATCCTAGGGAGGAGCTTCACCTCACATGGGCAGGCAGCAGCTTGCTGGCCTGGGGTGCGCAGGCAGTCAGAGAGCCCCACCTTTCAGTCTGGCTCCAGACTTCTTGTACTTGGTGGCCCCCGGCACGTCCGCACAGGTCAGCACAGTTCTGAGTTTCTGTCTTTTTCTGTGCAAGGGGAGAGCGACGCAGGCCTTGCCCTGGATCAGGGTCACTGTCACAGTTCTCTGGTGTCACTCCTAGTAGCAAGCACTCAGCTCAGTCCTCACCGAAACCGGAGCAAATGAAGGAAATGTGGCAAGAAAGGAGCCCAGCCCATCAAGGCGCAGGACGGAGACTTGAGCTCCGGCTCTGCTGCTCCGGCTCTTTGTGGCCAACCTCATTTCTTGTTAGGTTACCACCATCAAGCTCTAACCTGGTCAGGCACACCCACCCTCACCCATGCCCCGTGAGCCCTGACCCTGCCTCCTGTTTCTGTGCCAAACAGACTTGGTTTTTCTACATCTAACAACTGGGTTTGTGCTCTGGGAAGCACATGGTGGTGGTGGTGGTGGCAGTGGTGGTGGAGATGTCTTTCTGGCCATCTTTCTGGGATCCTCTCAAGACCCTGGATCTTTGGGGTTTTTTTTTTTTTATCCCAATCTTGGGTCTTGAACTCAGGGACCAGGCACTATTCCTGAGGTTCTTTTTGTTCAAGACTGGAGCTTTACCTCTTCAGCGAGTGCTCTACTTCCAGCTTTTTGGGGTAGTTTATTGGTGATAAGAATCTCATAGGCTTTCCTGCCTGGGCTGGCAGGAAATCTTCAGAGCTCAGCCTCCTGAGTACCAGGATTACAGGTATGAGCTACCAGCGCCCAGCTAGGCCCTGGCCGTCACCCCTCTCTCTGGAGCAACCTCTGTATAGCTTTCCAGGAGGCTGATGGTGCCAACCTTTGTTGGCAGTGCTGCCTTTCTCATCTCCCACATTCCCGAGCCAGAAGAATTTCCATGTTGGGATTTCTCCCTCCATAGTTCTGCATCAGTGAGGCCTCAGGTCTTGTCCCTGGCCCAGAACTCAGGTGTGATCCCCTGAGCCTGGCTCTGACTTGATGGTGAGTGGTTGGAGAGCAAGGACACACCCCTCCCCTCCACCGACTCGCAGCACTGCTTCCAAACCTGCCGCCCGAGCTGTGCTCAGGAATGTATCTGCGTCCTAGCGCAGGTTGGGGTGTCTGTGACATGAGCACAGAGGGCGCACCAGGACTGCCTCATCCCCCCCCCACTGCCTAAAGGCCCTGATAGTCCTTGCTCCCCCCACTGTACCCTGCTGAGCCCCAAAGTGGCAGGTAGAAGCTGGGAGAGGTGCAGTAAGTGGTCTCAGAGCTGTCTTGGACCACCTCAAACTCAGGCCCGAGCCCAGGCCCACATCCTGGCAGAAGAGGGATAGCTGGCCCCTGTTCCGTTCCCCTGGGCTTCCCCAACACCAGATGCCATCTTGTTGGAAAGAGGGTTGCCATGGTGAACACCTGGCTGGGAAGGGGAGGGCCGAGCCCAACCACAAAGGGGCTATTTCCCAAGTCTTGACTGGAAGTGCGGTGGAAGCTTTCTCTTCCGTCTGCCCCTTATCCTGAGGTGCTGTTGCCATAGAAACGCAAGGCCCATTGTCTGGTCCCTTCCCTGATGCTGACACTAGTGTGTGTGTTGCACAGCCCCAGTCATCTGCCACCACTGCCGCCTGTCTCTGAACATTTGAAAACTGCCCAGAAGCCAAGCAGACCCAATGTGGTTATAGAAGTCCCTCTCCAGCACGCCTGGCCACGGGAGTGGCAGCACACAGGCAGCCGGCCCCCGGGGATGCCCAGGGCCAACCCCTCCTCCTCCACGCTTGGGAGGACAGGGCGCATCCACACAGCCCAGGGGCCAAGGTTCCAGAGACCCTGCCCTGAAACTCAAACTCCCTTCGGAGACCTTCCTCTGCTTTCTTTCCCAAAGACAAGGATGAGACTCCAGCCCCTTCCCAAGGCCTTTGCAGCGCCTTCTTCCACGTGTAGGATGCAGGCCCCCACAACTCAGAGAGCTGAGATCCTAACAGCACAGAGGGGCCGGGGTGGGGCTGGGACTGACCCTCGCTCACCTGCAGCTGTAGTGGGGGAGGAGATGGCTTTAGCTTCTATGGCAAGGTCTCTGCTTAAGACACATTGCCCCCCCTAGACACACCCCTCCCTTCCCAGCGCTGTCTTTTCTTCCAGAAGAGGAAGGGTGAACCGAAGAGGGGTTCCCCCATCCCTTTGAGTTGATTGTAACTCTGCCCTGACTCTGTCCTGTCTCAAGGAAGAATGGGGGTTGATGACAAGGTGGATGAAAGAGAAAGGGAAAGAGAAGAGCCAACTGCAAAATTGCTTGATAAGAAGTATATATAGTTGTCAAACAGCATGCAAATTTTTGCAGACCCAAGTGTGGCCCCTGGGAGAGGCTCACAAATGGAACCGCTTCCTTTGGGGCTGGGGTGAGGGAACAGTGGGTAGTTGAAGGCTCAGAGCCCCCTCTAGTGGCAGAAGTCAGGCATTCCCTTTCTCCTGTCCCTGCTGGACCTGGCTCCTGCACTAGGTGACCTTCTGCCTTCCCTCCTTCCTGCCACCTGGGCTCACCCATCCAGGCGAGATCCCCAGCCTTATTCAAATGTCTGAACAGAAACCGTATGGCTGAAGTGGTCTTAGAAATCTGCATGTTAAACAAGAGCCCTGATTTTCCCAAGTAGTTTTCCACTAGAGAGTCCTCGGACCAGCAAATGACGTGGGGACTTCCCAGCATTCTCTTGAGGTGACCCTCAGTGCCCATGCCTCAAGAACTCCCTTGGGTGCCCCTGACTCGTGTGTGCGTGGGTCTCATGCTGTGCCCCCCTCCGGCCCCCCACCAAGCCACTGGGTTCCTGGATTGGGGGACTTCAGGTTTTTTCAGTGTCATCTTAGGGAACTGAGAGGCTGTGGACTCTCATCTGGAAACTGGGGTTCCTGTCAAGGATAAACTGATGGGAAAGTGCTCCCTGGCTCAGAGCTGCCTAAGAACCCGGGGCCTCCATTCTGGGTTTGACAAACGTCTGGGTGCTGCCTGAGCTGTGTGGGGCAGGTACTTCACCCACAGTCGATCACTTAATTCCCATCACTGTGATTGGGGAGGGGGGAGGAGCGCTATGCCCCTAACCACTCAACTCCAGAGCCAGGCAGCCAGCCGTGCCTGCTCACACTGGCAGGTGTCACCATCCCTGCCCTTCTGTGTCGCCTGGGCCTGGCCGGGGCTCGGGAAGGCACTGGGCACTGAGTGAGTGAGGCCACACACATCACCAGGGACGGCTGCTGTTGTCTTGTTAGTGTTGGGCTGAGTCCCCAAAGAGCTGGCCAGCACCTGCTCATTCACTGAATCCGCTAAGTCTGTGTCTGTGAAATGTGGGCCCTGTGTGGGGCCCTGCTCTAAGGCAGCCAAGGACACAGGAGGAGCCAGGAGCCAGGAGGTTGGCAGGGGCTGGGTGGGCAGGGGGAATGACCCTCCTGTGGAGGTGGGCGGTGGCCTCTGGTCAGGGAGAATTCAAGCAAAGCCGTGAGGAGGAGGGGCAGTGTGGAAATCAGGAGTGACTCTTCCAGATAAAAGGAACAGGAAGCCCTGCAAGCTATAGGCAGTGGGGCTATTCTTGTCACAGCCTTGCATGGGGTTCACATGTCCCAGCCACAGGGCATCATGCCCTAACCCCTGCTTCTACACCTCTTCATTCAGTGACCTCTCCCTGCACTCTGTACCCAGCTCTCAGACATGTGTCCCCTCCTTTTGCTGCCTGACTTCTAAGCCTTCTTTGGGCCACCCACACCCATGCCACACATACTCTGTAGAAACAAATGTGTCCTTCATGGGTTTTTTTCCCCATTGATTGGAGTGCTGGTGTGCCTGCCCACAGTAGGTTCCTGATAAATGAGCATCGACGGATGGAGCATCAAGAACTTCACCTAAGCCAGCTTCTGTGTCCTGTCTGAGGCATGGAGATGAATTCTGAGCTCCAGGATCTCCCTAGGTTCACACCCAGCCCTAGGAACAAAGGTGGCAGGTCATGTGAGGTCAGCCTTCTTCAGGAAGGAGCTGGGGAGCCCTCCTGCCCCCCTTTGCCCCTCCTCTCCCCCACCCCGAGCCCCGGTCCTGTCCAGATTCTGGCTCTAGAGATGGATTTTGCTTACCTGCCTCCAAAACATGCTGAGGCCTCTGGGGAGAAGCTCTACAGCTGCTTAGCAGAGCAGGCCACAGATCAAACCAGCCGCTGTGCAGGGTGTGTGTGTGTGTGTGTCCACAGATCAAACCAGCCGCTGTGCAGGGGTGTGTGTGTGTGTGTGTGTGCAGGCCACAGATCAAACCAGCCGCTGTGCAAGGTGTGTGTGTGTGTGTGTATGTGTGTGTGTGCCACAGATCAAACCAGCCTCTGTGCAGGGGTGTGTGTGTGTGTGTGTGTGTGTGTGTCCACAGATCAAACCAGCCTCTGTGCAGGGGTGTGTGTGTGTGTGTGTGTGTGTGTGTGTGTGTGTGTGTCCACAGATCAAACCAGCCGCTGTGCAGGGTGTGTGTGTGTGTGTATGTGTGTGTGTGCCACAGATCAAACCAGCCTCTGTGCAGAGGTGTGTGTGTGTGTGTCCACAGATCAAACCAGCCTCTGTGCAGGGGTGTGTGTGTGTGTGTGTGTGTGTGTGTGTCCACAGATCAAACCAACCGCTATGCAGGGTGTGTGTGTGTGTGTGTGTGTGTGTGTGTGTGTGTGCAGGCCACAGATCAAACCAGCCGCTGTGCAGGGTGTGTGTGTGTATGTGTGTCCACAGATCAAACCAGCCGCTATGCAGGGTGTGTGTGTGTGTGTGTGTGTGTGTGTGTGTGTGTGTGCAGGCCACAGATCAAACCAGCCGCTGTGCAGGGTGTGTGTGTGTGTGTGTGTGTGTGTGTGTGTGTGCGCGCGCGCCACAGATCAAACCAGCCCCTGTGCAGGGTGTGTGTGTGTGTGTGTGTGTGTGTGTGTATGTGTCCACAGATCAAACCAGCCACTGTGCAGGGGTGTGTGTGTGTGTGTGTGTGTGTGTGTGTGTGTGTGTGTGTGCAGGCCACAGATCAAACCAGTCGCTGTGCAGGGTGTGTGTGTGTGTGTGTGTGTGTGTGTGTGTGTGTGTGTGTGCAGGCCACAGATCAAACCAGCCGCTTGTGCAGGGTGTGTGTGTGTGTGTGTCCACAGATCAAACCAGCCGCTATGCAGGGTGTGTGTGTGTATGCGTGTGTGTGTGTGTGTGTGTGTGTGTGTGTGTGTGTGTGTAGAGGGCCTGTCTCCTCTCCTGTCTACCAAGGCAGTTGCTGCCCAAACCTGGGGACTCAAGGGCTTTTCAGGGAAGTCCTGCAGAGTGGCTTCCGCGTAGCACAGATGTGGCAGAGACTGACATTCGTGCACGCCATGGGCGGGACAGTGGCCTATGGCAAGTTTGGGGACACCGCTACAGACCCAGCACCCCAGGTCCAGCTCTGCTAGGGGAGGCTTCTTTGTCAAGCTCACAGCTGCAGGGCTCTGGAAGGTGGAGTGAGCCAGGAAACCAGCCCTTGCCCTGCGGGGAAATAACCCAGCTGCTGCCCAGGAGAGACGCTGGACGACTCCCGAGAGGACTCTGCCTCCTACTGTCCCACACCTCCGGAGCCAACTATAGCCGCCCCACCTACCCACACAGGCCAGCTGGAGTGGGCCACAGCACTGGCCAGCCCCCATGGGATGGCCACGGCAGGAGGGTGGATGCAGAGCCCAGGATGGGGAGGAGAGGGCCACCGCCTGAGCCGCCCACCCCAGCCCCTGCCTGGCTCCTCCATCCGTCCAGCTTCCTGCAGCGTGGCCACCCCGTGCTGCAGGACAACGCGCTGCGCAAGGCACACATTTGCCTCTTCCAACCCAGCCACGGGCGAGCCAGGGCAGGCTGCCTGAACCCCCGGAACACCTCGGGCTAGGCTGGGCTGGGCTGAGCTGAGCTGAGCTGGGCTGGGCTGGGCTAGGCTGGGCTGGGCTAGGCTAGGCTGGGCTGGGCAGAGCTGAGCTGAGCTGAGCTGAGCTGAACAGAACTTCGAGCCTGTGACAGGCGAGACTTGTAAGTCGCTGGTCACAGGGACTCCAGAGCCCTGCCCCTCTGTGGTCAGAGATGACAGCTTAATGTCCCAGTCCCTGGGGAGCCTGCTGAGTCTGCTGTGGCAGGAAGTGTCTTTTCTTTCCTGGGTGCTCAGAGTAGCTGGTTCCTCTATCAACAGAGTAGGAGGGTGACAGAAACCCCAGCCCCCCCCCCCCAAGGGAGGCATAGACAGCACCCAGGACAGGGGCTGCCGCGCTGCTCGCTAACGTCCCTCCCTGCCTGGGTCTCTGTCTCCACAGGTAAAACAAGTCTGGGTTCCGCTAAGCCCAGCAACTGCGTGGTTTCCTGAGCCCTGGGCCTGCCCTGCCCAGAGAGCACCTGTTTGCACATCAGACCCCGACCCGCGGGCCTCCATCCTTCAGCCTCTATCCTGACCTCAGGGCGGAATCCCAGATGGGAGGATTCGCAGCGCTTCAAGGACTGCCCACTGCGGGACTGCCCACTGCGGGACTGCCGACTGCGGACTGCAGTGGCCAGCAAGGCCACTGCCACCTTGTTTACAGGAAGTGGAAGCTTCACCAGTGTCCGCCATCCTTTCTGCCCTGCCCTGCCCCGCAGGTTCCCACGTCCTTATGCCTTCACGAACAGTCTCCAGGGCAGCTCCGGCTGTCTGGCTTCTTCCTTGGGCTTCTGGTGCTTTCTGGTCCCCCTGAGAGGATGAGTGGGGGGGAGCAGGAAGTTCAAGGTTCAGTCTTGCTCGTTCCCAGAATTCCATGTGGAAGACAGGGCTGCTTTGGCCTTCCTGCCCAGTCCCTTTGGGCTCCTGCACCAGACTGGGGTGTGGGGGAAGATGCCCCAGCCTCCTGAATGGGGGTGTGTGTGTGAGAGGCCATTTTTCTCTTCCCTTCCCTACATACTGCCCCTCCCATTCCCCCCCCCCAGGCGGGCTAGCCTGAGAACCCCGGCCTCCTTGGCAGGGGCCTGCTGCAGGTCTTGGGGATTTCAGGGTGCCTTTCCCTGGGCCTGCTCCTCCCCTCAATGTGCCTTGGTGTAAAGCCCAGTTTGGTTTAGGGTGTGGTGAGAACCTGGGCTCCCCTCCCTAGCCAGGGCTTCTCAAGCAACCCTAGCCTCCGGGGCTGGGGGCAGGGTGGGGGGGAGACACCGACACCGCTGTTGGCAAGGCAGCAGGCGGGAGGGGAGGGAGGATGTCCTGTCAGCCATTGGTTAGCTTCCAGTGGGGGGGGGGCGGGGGGAGAAGGGACCCCACACCCCTTCCTGAGCCCCTGTGAGGATTAAACACTTCTGGGAAGTGCTTCCTTTGCACCGGGGCCTGGCAGTGCAGCGGCGGCTTGTTCTGGGGGGAGGGGAGGACAGCGACTGGGCTGGGGTGCGCGCAGTTACACCCCAGCTCAAAGTGGTCACCTTGAAGATACAGGATGCCTTCCCTGCAGTGGTGGAAAATCTCGTCCTCCGTGTGGCTTAGCAGAGGGACCAGGCTCGTTCCGAGGCCTTAACCCCTGCCTCTTTCTGCCTCAGCTCCTCCCCCCCCCCCCCCCCCCCCGCCCCCTATGCCAAGAAAAGGGTCCTCCCATTCTGTAGGAGGGAAGGGGGAACCGTATGCCAGAGAGAAAGCCACTCCATGCGCTGGGCAGAGTGCCAGCCTGCAAGACGGGCCCCTGCGCCCCTTCGGCCTCAGCTTCCTCATCTCCTGGAAGGGGGTAAGAGGGACCCCCTTCCCCCCACCCCGCCCCCGCCTGTGCCTCCTGGCTTCTCCGCGTTAAGTGCCAGCACACACACACACACACCACACACACGCGAGGGGCTCCGATCCATCTCATCCCAAGGGTGCGTCTGGCCTGCCCGGCTGGGTGCCACGAGGCCATACAAGAGGGACGGGGTGAAAGGGCATTCGCAGCACCAGGCCCCGGCTTCACCATCCCTGCTCACTAGGGAGCTCCAGGCTGCCATTTTGCACTCCAACCCGGCTCACTCGTGGAGGCTGTCCGGGCTGGGTTAACAATCGCGCTGGGCAAGGCCGACCACCCAGTGCTGAGGCTCTGGTGCTGCTGCCACCTGGGTTTCTGCTCCCAGGAGGGCAGGAAACGCAGGGAGCCCAGCCTGAGGCTGTCCCTGCAGGCCAGAGGACACTCCCTAGACTGGTGTCAGCTGTCTGTCCTCCAGGTAGGGTTAGTTCTACCTGGATCCTAGGAGGAGTGGCTTCTGCTGATAGCCACACGGTGTGCTGGTGCAGAATTCATAGAAAGGCTAGGCCAAAAGGAAGGCCCAGAAACACAGAGGAAACTGGCCAGGCGTGGGCAGATGCACTGAGACCTATTTCAGCGAGCACCTGCTCTGAGCCTGTCATCTTGCTAGATGCAGCTTTCAAACTAAGAATGGCTCAGGAAAGAGCCCTTTACAAAGTCCCCAGAGTTGTATGGTGAACCCGGGGGATGCCTTATCTCTGTGGCTCTCCCCCCCAAAATCCCACATCATATCTCAGTCTGCACCCCAGGCCGTCAGCACTGGGGGCCAACACTGGATAACCCTCTTGGGAGAGGGGTGGTTCTACCATCAGAGGACATTGTCAGAAATCCTGGCCTCCTCCCCCTGGGTGCCAGCAGCACCCCTCCAGATGTGACAACCCAAATGCCCGTGGGGGAGGGGACACCCTCAGCCCAGGGCCCAGCGCCTGCCTTCCCTGTGAAGCTCTCCAGGGCGCTTAGGCCCAGACAGCGGCTGGCCTGCCTGCGATGGCACTTTGCAGGGCACAGCTAGGCGGTGGCGTCGTCCATCTTGGGCCTTGCTGAGCTCCTCCCTGCCATGTTCAGCCCAGAACAGGTGTGTGTATGTGCATGCGCACACAGGCCTCCTTCCACTCCACCCACCCCACCTCCCCCCCCCCAGCCCAGGAGACCTCCCAGGCTGGTCCCCTCCCTTCAGCCACACCCTCCATGGAAAGCACCCAGCAATGGCGCCCCCTCTTCCCCCCAAGGATCAAAGGCTGACAGCAAAAGAGCCCCAACTCGCACTGGGCCAAGGGTAGGGTCTGGCAAGCTGGCTGGTGATGGACTCTCAGTAGATGCCAGCAAGGGGGATGAGCCTGTCAGGCGCTGTGGATGTAGTTTGTCGCCTGGCAGGGGGCACCCTCGGGCCCAGCAGCTGTCACAGATTGCAACACCGAGCTTTGCAACAAAACAGGGTCCAACCAAGACTTTGAGCACCATGGTGTCGCCTGAGAGGGTGGCAGGGACACACCTGAGAGCATCCCTAGGCAAAAGAGCAGCGAGCTCTGCCCACAGGCCCTCACAGTGCCCGCCTCCCGCCTCCTGCCTCTGTCCCAGGGCTCTGCCCACAGACCCCTCACAGCCCCCCACCTCCCACCTCTGTCCCAGTGCCCTGCCCACAGACCCCTCACAGCCCCCCACCTCCCACCTCTGTCCCAGTGCCCTGCCCACAGATCTCCCACAGCCCCCGCCTCTGTCCCAGGGCTCTGCCCACAGACCCCTCACAGCCCCCGCCTCCCGCCTCTGTCCCAGGGCTCTGCCCACAGGCCCCTCAGCCCCCGCCTCCCGCCTCTGTCCCAGGGCTCTGCCCACAGACCCCTCAGCCCCCGCCTCCCGCCTCTGTCCCAGGGCTCTGCCCACAGGCCTCCCACAGCCCCCGCCTCTGTCCCAGGGCTCTGCCCACAGGCCTCCCACAGCCCCCGCCTCCCGCCTCTGTCCCAGGGCTCTGCCCACAGGCCTCCCACAGCCCCCGCCTCCCGCCTCTGTCCCAGTGCTGCTGCTCTGGCAGCAGGCAGCAGACGTCAGATGCCATTTTTCCTTCAGAGTTGACCAGGAGGCCAGGCGTTGTGAGCCCCACGGCTGGCTCACTGGCATAACTACAGTGCCTGATGAATACCTGTTCGTTAAATGATTGAAGATGTGACAGCCGCTCCGTTACAGAAAATAAACCGGCCATTAGACCGAGGCTGTGTGAAGAGGTTGCAGAATTGAACATGACCCTTTCAGGCTGGCTTCTGACTCACTACACAGGCAAGTCAGGAAGCGGTGCCTCTGTCTGCTGTTTAGTATAATGATTGGACTTTTCAAAAGTCCCTTCTGAGCAAGTCCTTTCTTCCCAATCCCTCAGGACTGGGTAGAAACTGGCTTCAGGCCCTGGCTTCTCAAGGATGCCCTCATTGCTGTCAGACTCTACAAAGACTAAGCAAGAAGCAAGGAGGAAAGGGGCCATGAGGTGAGCTCTGTCCAAAGCCCACCACCCATCAAGTCACAGAAAAGTCTAGAATCTGTTTATGTGGACATCTGAGAGTACTTGTACTTCACCACTCCAGGATTCAGCCATGTGACGTTAGAGCAGTGTCTGAAGCCACAAGAAAAAGCAGCTTCAGGAACAGATCTCATAGAAGACCAACTTGGATGGGTGTGTGGTGCAGTCCTGTAATCCTAGCTACTTGGGAAGTGGAGATCAGGGAATTGTGGTTTAGGACAGCCCAGAAATTCTGGAGAAATTCTGGAGACTCCATCTCTAGCAGTGAGGAGGCATGGGAGCACACACCATAAATAGGAGGATCAGAGTCCAGGCTGGCCAGCGTGCAATAAGAGAGCCTATCTCAAAAATAACCAATAGAGGATGGCCTAGTGGTGTGGCTCAAGTGGCAGAATGCCTACGTAATGAGGTCCAGAATTCACAGCCAGCACTGCAGAAAGAGAGACAGACAGACCAGGTAGAATCTGCCTTAGGAAACCACCAAGTAAGCCAGGGGCCAGTGGCTCACACCTGTAATCCTAGCTACTCAGGAGGCTGAGATCTGAGGATGGCAATTCAAAGTCAGCCTGGGCAGGAAAGTGCCATGAGACTCTTACCTCCAATAAACCACCAGAAAATACTTGGTGCTGTGGCTCAAGTGGTAGAGCGCTCATCTTGAGCTGAAGAGCTAAGGAACAGCGCCCAGGCCCAGAGTTCAAGCACCACGGCCAAAAAGAAAAATAAAAAAAGAGCTTGGAACCTGTGAAGAGCATAGGCAAAAATGGGCATCACACTCATAATGCCTACAGCCCTATGGGGAAAGAACCAGTGGTGTACAAAAATCTTGCACACTCATCTTACACGTTTTCCCCTTGCAGCTTTGTCGGTTGGGCTCTTCTTGGAACTGTCCTGGAGGTCAGACAACCAGGCAGGGAAGGGCTGCTCACTGCCGCATGAAGGCTGTGTCCATTTGTTTGTTTACTCAGTGGATGCTTCCTGGGGCCAGGCCTGATCTCAAGGCCACACAGCTTGCTGGGCCAGGCACAGACACGTGGTAGAGAGCTGGCAGGCTTCAGAAAGGGCAGGACAGGTGGGGGCTGCCATGGAATAGCTAGTGATCTGCCACATGAGGCGATACGCGATCACTCTCCTGGGCAGAGCACCCAGGGCAGGGCCTGGCCATTCCTCCCGGGTCCCCTCCTTCCTGTTCCTACATATTGGCTGAACAACTGGCACAGGGGGGCCAGACACGTGCAGGAAATCCCAAGGCCCCAAGTTGGAAAGGACCAGTGGAGAAAACTTGCCAAAGCTGCCATTTGTGAGCTGCTTCAAGGGGACAGAAGAAGCTGCCATCACTGCACACAGCCTGCAATTTCTGGTAATTTTCGGTGAGATACTTTTACTATGGAGAAAACTGTAAATATGAAACATAAAACAGAAAGCAAGGAAACAGAGTACTCCAGAGAAGACTGCCAGCCCTGCTCCAAGCCCCAGTACCCTAGGTGTGGACTCCGAACTCCTGATGTTCCTCTTTTCTGCCCACTAGAGACTGGTCAGGCCTCTGGAGAGCACTCAGTGCAGAGGCTCCATGGAGAAAGACTGCCACCTTGTGTCCAGATGGGAGAATGCAGACTTCTCTAGCTCAGGCCAGGAATGAGCAAACACTTTGGCTATAAAGGAGCAAAGTAAATAGTCTAGGCTTTGCAGGCATTTGACATCTGATGTACACAGATACTGCAGTAGCACGAAAGCAGCCACAGATGATAAGTAGGTGAACCAATGTTACTATAAAACTACGGACACTGAAATATGAAGTTCAGCTAGGTGCTAGTGGCTCACCCTTGTAATAATCCTAGCTGTTCAGGAAGCTGTGATTTTAAGATCTCGG